AATCTGTGAACTAGAAACCAGGGATCTAACTTTTTAAACAGCTCGCAGGACCTCTGAGTAACTTATTTTTCACTAAAACCTAGCTGTAACCGTACGTAGTGGTATCACAAAGACCAATGCTCATCGAAGTGTGGATAGTTCAGAGTATTTATTTTGGGAAACTCTCTAATTCGTCAGGCAATCTAGAGAACCTTTGATTATCAAGGATAGTCCGACATTCGATTCTTACTTACGAGGAAGGTCGTTTCTTTAAACAATAAAATCAAACGAACTTTTCATATCCAGCACAACAATATCCATATTATTTTTATACCCGAGCGCACTTGTGCACAAGGGTATATTAATTTTGTTCACATAACGGTTGTTTGTAACAGCCAAAACGAATCGAGATAGATATAGACAAATGTATACATAAATGATCAGNGGGCGTGGCACCGCCCACTTATGATCACATATATGTATCTCAGTAACCGTTCTACCAATTTGTACCAAACTCGGTGTGGTTATTGTGCTTGCCACATATAAGCAAACCGTTGAAAATTATTGAAATCGGACTAAAATAACGGCCGCTTCTCATATAACGGTAAATTTCAGAACTGCTTGAAACTTCAAAATCGAAATTTAAGGACTCTAATTTACTCAAAATTGATACGCCCCGGCTTACCATGTAGCCGTAGCTTTCGGTAAGGCGAAAAACATATATTTAATACGTGCGCCGGGTATTTAATGTTCGGCTCTGCCCGAACTTAGACTTTCTTACTTGTTTTTTGTAATTTTCTCGATTCATTCCTTTAATGTCTTTCGCCAATTCATACAATTTACCATTTTTACATATTTCCCAGACCGCCACTGTATTTTATTGGCAAGCCTGATGACTTCAAAAGAATTGGCAATAAAAAGCCGAAAACAATAACAGCAGGAACTATTATAAGAAAGAGTTGGAAACAAACCAAAAAACTGTAATAAAATCAAAGGCAAAGACGACGAGCCTACAGGCACATTTTACTAAATTGCTTATACTATGTGCTACACTGACATACACACACACACACACACACAAACCCACTCATACACCCACGCCGCAAGTACACACAACCCACCAAATATAGTACAGACATGCAAACAAACAATTTTCCATAGCAACCCAGCCAAGATTGCTTATACGATAGAGAGCAAGCAATTCGTTTACAAAATGGGAGAGAGCCGTCAAAGTTAGTGAGTAAGTGAGTGAGTAAACTAAAAGTGGTTAAATAAGAAGTAAACTTACAAAAACAACATGAATAACATAAACGTTGAATGCAAAGAAGCACGTAAACAAAGCCGAGAGCATAAATAGAACCCACAGCAATAACAGATGAGAGTGCAACAAAAAGAAAAAAAAGACATTGCATTAAATGATAAACAACAACTACATATACATATACACAAATGGGGAGACAGGCAACCGAAGGTAGATTGTACTACATAATGTAGCCATAAAAACGTGCACCGAAAAAAGGTAGGTAGCAAGGACTGGGCAAAGCGGAGGCGAGGGAAGCATTGAACAATCATTGAAGAAGAGCAGTACGATGATTCGGTTGATTCAGGAAGCACAACAAAGCAATAAGGTAATAACATAACAACAAAATGCAACAACAAGCAAGCGACTACTAAAAGATACACACAGCAAGGCATACAACAATTGGAGAGTAAATGCTCTGCATGTTTATTGCCTCGCCGATGCACGTGTAGAATATGCTATGGGGTTTTTGAGTGTGTGTGTGTGCAGTTATCTGTGTGCATGACTTTATTGTTCATGATGGGGTTGCCAACGGAAAAAAATATAGGAAATTTGGTAGAGAGCTGAGTTACATGGTAAATAACGGGAAACTTTTTTTGTTATACTAATGTATGTACATGTTAACCGGAAACGCATTTTATGGAAATAGCGTTTTTTCTGCTACAGAGATAGAGTATATTCTATCAAGAATGTCCGCGATTTAGCTTTCCCTGATTCCATATATACCTATTGTAGCTTTAAAAAAGTTATTATAGCGAAGAAAAATCCCTTATTCCTGATAATATAAAAGTTTAAAACGTTCCATATTTATGTAAATTATGTATCAACTCACGCTTGGTGCATTCAACGCCTGTTCTGTTACAAAAAAAAATCAAGTTTTTAATCAAGAAAATCTCTGGATAAATAAAGACGTAATAAGTGGTCATATGAAAATGCGCAAAGATATTTTGTATGAAAAATGAGCAGGAAAGAATGTTACTCATACGTCATTGACACCTAAAAAATATCTCTATAACTTATCCATGGCGTCCGTTGAACATTTTTCCTGTAAACCAGTGTTATTTTTCAGTTTTTGTATTTTTTAGTGCCTATTTTGCTATTTCTAGTGTCTTTTCCTGCCAATTTCGCTGTTTTATTTTGCATTTTTTTAAGCTTTTAGGTCCTAAAAATCTCTTCTCTGCATATGTATGTACATATGAGTCAATCGATGTCAAATCGACCTTTCTTTATTTGGTTGAATTTTGCTCGGAACTTTTCTCTTATCATGTAACAAAAGTTTGTCTAAGCAAAAACTGATTTTTTTTATTTTTTTGTAAGGCATGCAAAATTCTGGATTTCACAATTTCTGCGAGTTTGCAAATTTATTATTGGAATTTTATAGTTACAAAGATTGGAAACATAGGGCTATATAAAAAAAAAAATTAAAAAATATAAAAATTTACAGAATCCTGAACTAAAAAAATGGTAAACCAAAAACCTATAAAAATTTGTGGCCAACTAACTGATCGTAAGAGATCCTGAAACTTTAAAAAAATTTGTTTTCAAATATGAATTATTGTTTCAAGATATGAATTATTTCATTCAGAAAAATTTGCGCAAACTATAAATAATTTTTATTTAATTTAAATTTATTTTTTACTTGGAGTTCGCAAAAAAATAGTTCAAAGATCAAGGATTCATATATTAAAAAAACAACTTCTTGGAAATTTCCGTATCTTTTAAGCTAAGCTAGAGCTATAATATAAAAAAAAATGCCAAAAATTAAATAAGTTTTTGCTTTTACGATTTTTGGAAATTTCCAAGTTCTGAAATGTTTTTAATTTTTGCAGCGATTTTTTTATATTTAATTTTTTATTCTCTTCCAAGTCTTTTTTTTGTAATTTTTGGATTTCATTGAGTTAAAACGAAAATATGCGTATGAAAATAATTTTTTTTTTATGGTTAGAAACTGTTTATTTTACTGCTTTTATTAATTTTTTTGTTTTAATTTAAGTTTTAGGTTTTATTTTTATTTTTTTAATAAAATATTTTTTTTTTTAATTTCATCTAATTTTTGAAAACATATTTTTCTCTTAATTCTTCTTCATCAAATTTGTTTACCTTTTTTAATTTAATTTTCTTTAAACTTTTAGATTTGATGATTTTAAAAAGAAAAATATTTTCTTTATTTGATCTAATTTTTAGGTACTTGTTTAATTTTGTTTTAAATCTTAGATTATATCACTTAAAAAAAAACGTATTTCTTATTTAATTAAATTTTTAGAAACTTATTTATTCTTCTTTTCTTAATTTTTGTAATCTTTCATATTTCTTTATTATTTAATTTTCCTTTAACTTTTGGTTGTTATTCTTTTAAAAAGAAAACATTTTTTTTTTACGTTTCATTAGATTTAAGAAAGCTTTTTGCTTAAAGAGAAACTCAAAATCGCTTATACCTCCCCGCCAGTAGATCTTTCAATTTGTCTTTCGAAAGACCCAAGTTTAAACTGAAATGAAAGGGATAATTTAGGTCAAAAGTCATATCATGTACCTGTCAGAAAAAGTGCTCATAGCCCATTTATGGGCTATTCATGCAATAGAGTGTAAAAATCAGTGGAAAGCCGGTTTTATTGAATTTGCGGGCTTCTGCGCCTAAATGTATGCCTCACTTTTGAATACTTACTTTGCAAATAAGTAATAAAAGCAATCAAATAAATTTAACTACAAGCAATTGTTGGCAACTCTACTCACAATGTTATCACTAATGTATTTTTCTATTTCGTTTTATTGGAATGTTGGCGAAGGCAATATTGATTGCTGCAGCAGGGCAGCGGCAGTAGAATGCATTTGTTGACGACCCAGCTGAATGCTATAGGGACGGTAAATTTTGGTGGTTGTTTGTTTTCATACCTAAAGCGCTCTCACAAACACACACAAAAAGCCAGCCATTGAGGCAGGCAGGCAGGCAAGTAGTCAGGCTAGCCAACAAGCAAGCAAGCACCCAAGTAAGCGATCAAACAAACAAACAAACAGATACACATCTATACCCTGCAGAAAATCTGACTAGCTCAGAACTAACGTAGAACTAGACCTTTTGCCAACAGTGCTAGTTCTATCTCAATACCCAAGCAATGCGTTCAACTGTCCAGTTTTACACGGCGATGTCATTGGCGGTGGCAATTGTCGCCCATTGCATTACTTTGCACTAGTTTTTAAACGGTTCCGTTTTGGACAGTTTTTTTTTAATAAGGACACGTTTTTAAGATTCGAATTTTTTATTTATTTTTTCGTTTTTTTTTTTTTTACTACAGTTTCCATTTTTGTTACATATTTTAATAATACAAATTCATTGAATTTGAAAACTACCACCATCGCGATTTGAGTTCGCGACCAATGATATTTGAGTTGGAGGTCTTCTCGCTGAGCTATTTTCGTATTGTACGAGTAGTGAGCATTTGCACATTTACGCCGCAAGTTTCCACTGTCTCACAAAGCATCCGTTTTGGACTAGTTCAGGGCTAATTCTGAAATATGTAGTTTGGAACCAGCGCTTTGTCAGACTGTCTCTAAATTTTACTGCAGGGTTACTTCTACGCACAGACACACTGATACGCAAGCACACATACTTACATACTCTCATGAGAGCACAAGCAGTGTGGTGAAGAGCTACATTATGGTTATAGCTAAGCGTGCGAGGACGTAAACAAAAATTTGAATTTTTCAAATCAGTTTTTGGCGGCACTCCAAGCGGTACAGACCGGTCCATTCCCCAAATAAAAAAGAAAACGCACACACAAAAACGCGGGTGTGAGTGCGTAATAGCAGCGCGTACGTATGAGAGTGAGTGTGAGTGTGCGTGTGTATGTACGCGGGCGAAGTACTCGTCGTATAGTCGTAACATGTAAACACGGCACTTAACGTTATTGAAAGCAAGGATGAAGAAAGTGACATATTGAAAGTGAAGTTTTATAAAACAAAAAGCAAAAAATAACACTAAAGCAACGGCGTCCTGCCGGGAAAGGATATACGATCATGCATGCATACATACATACATAAATAGATATGTTTATGAGTAAAAAGGAGGAAGCGTATTCATCCTGCAGGCTATCGAAGTTAAGGCTAAGGACTTTGCAGTGCTAGTGAAGTGAATTAAGCAAAAAGTAATGGAAAAGCGCAAACAAAAAATATGTGGCAACATTAATTTTTAAATAAAGAAGTATATTCCTGCCGCAAAATGCGCGCTTTATGAAATAAAAGAGAAAAAAAACAATAAAATAATTTCCTCTTCCCAAATGGGTACATTTCCGCATTAAGAACTGTAATCAAAAGTAAAAAGAAAAATACCCAGAAATTGCACCTAATCTCCGCTGCAATCAAATAAAAAACAACAACAACAACCAAATCACACAAAACAGCAATCATGGATGCCAGCAGCAATGCCACCCCCATAAATCAAATCACTTCCACTGCCAGCGCCAAAGCTAATGCTAATGCTAATAGCAGCAACAGCAACAACAACAACAAAACTCACAACACCATCGCTTCCAGCAAGAACATTGCAAATGCCTCGCTTGTCTTCGAGAACGGCACAATCATGGGTGCCGTCTACGAGTACAACACGAGCTACAATAACAGCTACAACAATTGCAACAGCAATAGCAACATCAACAGCATTAGTAGTCATAGGAATAGCAGCTATTACCAAGAGCCGGAAGGGCAGTTTGCCAGCATACCGGAGATTGTAATCAACAGCAGCTACAACAGCCACCAGAATCTCCACCACCACCACCACCACCAGCAACAGCAACAGCAACAGCAGCAGCCGCATCAAATTCAACAAACTGAGGCCCATATGGCCGATACAGTCGGCAATTGCGATGATTCTGCCATTGAAAGCACAGCACTGCTCTGCGCCACAGAGACCAAACTCACAACCGGCAAAATGAATGGCGTTGAAGATATGCGTACGGTTGAGGCGCTCGACGACGACGTTGCTCATCTGGCCCCCGATGATTTTGAACAATTCCTGCTGAATCGCAGCACCTCCGATAGCAACATACTCGAGTCGAGCATTTATAGCGAACTCCAATTTCCGCCCTCAATCGGTAGTTTGAGCATAGGTGGCGGCAGCATTGTTGGCGGAGGTAGCGTAGGCGGTTATATGGGCACCACATCCATGGCACAACAATACCAACTGGCTGCCGCACGCGCTCAACTACAAATGCCACCATTGCCAACTGTGAATGCAGCAAATGCAGCTGCTGCTGCCGCTGCCGCCAGCGTCATTACTACCGCCCCCACTGCAAACGCACCGGCTAATGTAGTCGAGTTGGCCGAATTGCTGAATACGAGCACCTGTTCGCGTGAGTCATCGTCGCGTGCCAACAAACGTTCGCGTACGCGCAAGTCGCACAAATCGAGCAGCAAAGCGAAATGGAATGCCAATGTAGCGGCTGCCAATGCCGCACAGGGGGCAGCAACAGCCGCCGCCTCCTATCCACCACAATATACAGCCATCTTTCTGGATCATGGCAATGTGACGGCAGCTGCCAATGCAATGGGACAGATTGCAAGTGCGGCAGCAGCCGGTTCGCCATTCTTAAATGCGCCAATTGTGGATGCAGCAACGGCTGCTGCATACCTGCAACAGCAGCCATATCAGCTGATAACCACAGCGACGGCACCATATGCACATCTCGGCAGGCATCTGCACCACAGGTGGGTGAAAGGATATGCATATATTTATTTACATATAGTATTTGTATGTTAATAGCTATATACATTATATAATATATGGGTAATAACGCGTAAGCAGCTGGTGAATAATTGCAGCAAATCTGTGATAAAATGGTTTGGTGACGCAAAGGATGTAGGGCAATATTTAAATTTTGGCGAGTGATTTTTGGTTATTTTGAAATTCAGCGTTTCAAATATTTATTTATAAGTATATGGAGTATACAAGACACCTCCTATGTTGGAGCACTTGGCAAATTTCGTCTAAGAATCCCATTTCTTATCCCGGAAAGTCTCACTGGGTGTTGCTTAAAAAGACTCAGATCATTGCAGTCGTTCCCAAGCCAAGGTTTCCGCATTCACTATTACAGAAACTTTTTAAATATGGAGACCTGCGCAACACTATTTCCCCTTTGACCTATGTACATATGTATATGCACTTGACGAACGCAAAACACAGAATTATCCGAAGGAAATCACGATTCTTCTTCTTCTTTATTGGCGCTGTAACCGCCTAAGGGATTTTGGCCGAGTCTGTACTAACTGACGCCAATTGGAAATGCCAAGTGAAGCCAAGTCCTTCTCCACCTGGTCTTTCCAACGCAGAGGAGGCCTTCCTCTTCCTCTGTTACCAGCATCGCGACCCGCGTTGAATACTTTCAGAGCAGAAGCGTTTATGTCCAATTGACAAGGTCAAGCCGCTGAATTTTAATTCGCTACACTATGTCTATATCGATGTAAAGCTCATACAGCTCATCGTTAAATCGTCGCGTAAAGGTCCGTAAATCTTTCGCAGAACCTTTCTCTCGAAAACTCCAAGAGCCGCTTCATCAGATGTCTCCCTGCCTCCACGCCATACACCAACACAGGCATGATGAGTGACTTATAGAGTGTGATCTTTGCATGGCGAGAGAGGACTTTACTCCTGAATAGCCTACTCAGTCCAAAGTAGCACTTGTTGGCAAGAGTGATTCTCCGTTGGACTGACACTATTATTGGTGCACGATTCCTAACGAATATTGGCTGTTGGTTACCAACTTCGGACGAGAGGAAATATTCGTTTGTAGCAATTCTACTTGTTGTAATTGTTTTTGTTTTTTTTTTTTTGTAGCGGCAACTAGATCGGTTTTTCCATCAATCGGGGTCGTCAAGCTCAACAAATGGTAGGGTCAGGAGACGAGCTGATTCGTCGTGGTTGCACCGTAGGGAGAGGTGGCTGATGTCATGGGGTGAATCTCCACATGTCGAATATACTGAGTATATCAGGCTCGAGCCTGGATGAGTAGCTATTTAGGCGGCTACATTATCCGCACTGTAATTTTTTCGGCGACCTGACCCCGTTTAGATCAGCGAACCCCATTAATTCTTCTAATTTAGCACTACAACCGTTTGTGGCTTTAAGCCGGGACCAACAAACTTCGCCAATTGCCCCTCACCTGCAAATTTGCGCCAGTTGCTGATAGGCTCCAGTTCTGATAGGTCCTTCTGCACTTAGCCCTTCTATTTTGTTCGTAAGCGCCTTTGCCTTCTGTTCACCCATGGGTGTCGAGTCGTAACATCTTTTCACTGAATCCTCGTTAGTCTCCAAGGCAAAGCTCATACAGTTTTTCATTCCGTCTTCTTCAGCACTCGTTGCACATCACATAGCGTACAGATGACGGAGTCAGTTATACATACATAGGACTCCAATCAGCTTACGTCCCTAAGTTACAGGGCGACGATGTCGATATCATCTGCATACGCCAGCAGTACGGCTGCGCTTTAAAGTATCTGATTGGACCAGAAATTTTAGTAAATAAGTTATAGCCCTGCCAGATGCCTCAAGGATGAAACTGATGTGGCGTAAAAAACGCAGAGTGGCGCCACAGTTAAGTTGTTGCGTTTGCAAACAAAAATCAGCTGTTCTTTATAACCGCGTACTTGGGGTTTACACAAGTCAATTTTGCAGATACCCTAGCAATACATTCGCACTTCTTTACTTATTTATTCAAACTCTCCCACTGACTTCGTCAATGCCTTTAAATTTTCGAAGAGAGTTTATTGTCTGGACGCCCTTATTGACTCAAAGAATGTGACAAATAATATCTACATATTCTAAATATTCTTGTATTGAATAAACGCAAAGTAATAGAACTGTCAGCAGTGACGGACCTACTTGCCACAAAAGTTGAGTGTTGGCCAACGTTTGTTTTTTCCGTCAACGCAAGGGTTGCCAATCTGGCGATCTCTATGCGAACACACGCAGTTTACTCAACTGTCAGTTTTATCCTTGAGTGGAACGCACGTAACCTGCTCTAACTGGCAGGGCAATTAGGCTCATTATCGAACAGTGTGCCGAATTCAAAGCCGATTTACATTTGATGTTTGTCAATTTCGAAAAAGCTTTCAATATGTAGTTGTTCGAAGCAAATGCCTTGGGTAGCCCTCTCTCTCACCCCTTCTCATCTTTTTAGTAATTGGGGCTGTGTTGGATGCTGCCATAGGCCACTCCCCGACAGCAGAATTCGGTTGTCCATGTCCATGTTTACTTCACAACATTGACAGCTAGCTTATGGCGCATCCTCTTTCTGATCTGTGTAAGATGGGCATCCCGCTACATAAAGAAGGTAAAGCAGCAGGCATGGTAATCAACTTTAATAAGACCAAAGTTCTATATATGACAGAGAATGCTTGCGAAGACGTGTCGGGCCCTCACCAAACACTTTAAACTATGAGAAATTTCGCATAACTTCGCTGCAAAGTCGTTCCTGGTGCCTGGCACCGAAGTAAATAAGTAAAGTAATCCAAAGCGGCCATGCGTGGAATGCACACATTATGGCGAAACAAAAGTCTGAGTTCACGTTTTTCCAGTCCAATGTGCTATCCATACATCTGTAGGGTTCTCCACTTGGAAAGTCACATTTGCAATACCTGGGTGATTTCAAGTTTTCGTATTATTTTGGGATGCTTTTTGATTCACACAGAACAAACTCCAGGCAGTTGTTTAGCCACAATTTGCCTGTTCAAAGTGGAAGGGGCATCAGATCGGCTCAACAAACAAGATTAGTGGAGATTGTAATCCTTCAAAGGGCTTCTAGTTATACTTGATGGCCAAAGTTGCTAAAGCCAAATTATACTGTTAAGGTTTAATTTTATTAACCTTCACAACAAATAAATAGTTAAAAGTGATTCGAGTAAGATTAAGGAAGCTTTCGTCGTGATCAAGCAACTATTTTTTATACAGAATTGGGAATCTTTACAGATCAGTATTGTTTAAAAATTGAGGCTCCCTATTTGAAGGAAACAAAAGTTAATAAGAAATTAAGGAATAGCGAAAGTAAGACACTTATTAGAAATGAGAGCTCGAGCTTTGCTAACCTAAACACCTCCTTCTAAGGAAACAAATCGTGCAGATGCTCCAGCTTCGAAAAGAAGAGATCCAAATCACACATTGGTGAAGAACACTGGTCTAAAAGCTTACACATTCAAACGATTCGATTAGTTATGAGCACAGCTCATCTCATTTGCAGATACGCTGTTGGTTATAACGATTGCGAGTGCATGTGAAGCACACAAATGTATGTATACTCAGAGAACGCTAAGTAATATATGGTCTGCCGACCACTGTTCTAGTGACCAAAATTATAACCGGCCATTGCTTAATGAGAAGACATGCTAGTAGATTACGGTTTGCCAATCAATGACTTCCATCGCAGCAGAGAGAAATTGAAAGTATAGGAAAAGGCCTCATCAAAGCCTTGCCCTAGGAAGGGGATAGATGCCGCTTATTTCACTACTACTCCTTTAGCTCTCGCGGTTTATTTACACAACCAGTTGAATCTATCCTAAGGTGGGCAGGCCATTGAGTCTAGATGCGCTTCTCTACCTTGCTGAATGCTGGCATACATTTCAATATAACCTATTCTAAAGGGGCTAGAGCCAACATAAGTGAACTCTGACCCGGGATGAAATGAAGTTCGACAAATTTTCAATAACCCTCGAACAATAATCCAGTAATGTCTAACATGAGTCAGCTGGAGCTTGCAGCAGTCTTACCTGAAATGTCTACGAAAAACATTAAAAAGTCTGTAGAAGTACGGAAATGTCTCAGACAAATACCGATATAAGTCGTAAAATTGCTTTAAAATCTCAAATAAATGTTCAGAAAAGTATGGAAAACATCCGCAAAATTCCGAAAAGATCTGGAAAGAATTTCAAAAGATTCGAAAAATCTCAAAAAGATAAGTAAAAACTTAATTGTAGCTTTGAACCTCGAAAGATGCCGTATAATCTCAGGCCCAGAAAAATCCTGGAAGTCTCCAAAAGTTATACCAAATCTGCGAAAAAAGTCTCGAAATTTTCCAAGATGCCGAAGAAATAAATAATACCGAAAAAAATAAAAATACCGATGCGTTCCCATAAGATACCAAAATGTCGCCACAGATTCCAAAAAAAAAAACTAATGAAGTACCGAAACATCCCCAAGGATACCAAATTATGCTGAAAGGTTTAAGAGAAATCCCAAAAAGTTCCGGAAATTATTTCAAAAGTTTTCGATAAGTTCCAGAAAATTACAGAAAATATGCCAAAAACCTATCTAAAAGTAAAATTTCCAAAAATTCTGAAAAAAGTATGTGAAAAATACAAAAAATCTTTAAAAGTTTCCATAAAGGATTTCGACAAATCGTTTGAAAAGTTTGCAAAAGCCTCTAAACCGCCGGAGAAATAACGAATCATTTCATTTTTCGGTTATTTATTCTGGAACAAAGGTCGAAACGCGCAGTGGAAGACGGAGAAAGTTGTATGTACATATATTTAAGTACTTGTAATTAGTTAGTAGAAGGACCCACAAAATTAAAAAAAAAATCAGGATAGGAGGGCAAGAAGGTAAAGTTCTTCTATGAGAGTTTTATGTAGCGTAACTTGTAATCCTATGCCTTGCGTATTTAATCTCCTTCTACTCCTCTGCTTTTGCTCCTCCAAATCCCACTATCCTTCGTCCTGAT